AAACCACATACTGAAATTCATATACATTTATTGGGTTGCTGAAACAATTCAGCATAGTTCTGTAACACCTTTTGCATTACAAACACGCAAACACTTTGCATTAAGATGCCCCTAGGACTAATAAAGTCAGTCATAATCTTAAATGATTATTTCCATGAGGTAGCAAACGTTGCCACAGAACTTCAGGGTGGGATAGAGACACGTTTCTAAATAACACTTACATGGCACATATTTTTCAGCATTTCTTCCAATTGTAGCCCTCCTCTGCTCCATGTCTGCTGAATTATCACGCCTATTCTTAATTCATTAGCATGTCCATGCGTATTTAGCACTGTTCCTGTGTATGTTCCTAAAAAATCAACTGGAAAATTGCCTTTTTAGAGTGCCTAGAAGAGCAGTGGCTTTTTTCCCTCCATTTTACCCCGTTTCAGTGTTTGTTTTTTTAACACTAGACTGATAACAGAGTCACCAATAATGAAGTGTGGGGAGATAAAATATGCAAATTAGAAGAGAAAGGATATAATTAGGGTAATAATAGGAAGTGTTGTTTTCACAGCTGCTCGTTTTACAAACCCCTGATAGTCTTTTATAAATAATGTCCCCTCCGTGACTCTCTCTCTTTTGTCTGAGCTTGGAGCCACGTCCCCAGTTGCACACCAGCGGTGTGGCCCCCCCGGTGTGAGTGCCGGTCGAAGTGTGGAGCAACCATCCACGGTCCCAGGCAGAGACCCATGGAGGGACACCGGCGGACCAAACGCCCCTAGTCTGCAGCAGGAAGCTCTGCCCACATCATTGAGGAGACGGGAGAGACTCCATATTGGAAAAATTTTCTCAGAACAGCAGCATGTGACGTACAAATGGGAGAATGCTGTGGGGACTTTATTTGGGCACAGGTTTATCAAGTAACCAAAGCAGAACAAAAACAAAGAGCCATTTTGGCTTCAGTATGGGGAAATACAAAGGGGAACAAAACCAGTGCTGGACCTTAGGTAAGGACCACAGAGGCAGCCAACATGGTGTGGGGATGTGATCCAGCAAGGCAAAGGCCAGGCCACACAGACACAGCACTGCCCTTCACATTCCCAGAAATCATCACAGGAAGACCCAAACGAGCACACACACTTACGTATACTCTATGTCCTTTACGTACGTGGTGAAAAGAAATCATACGCTGAGCTGTGTGATGAACAGACGTTATGACTGAGTTATTCTTTGTGTAGCAGGGAAAGCATATATGCTACGCACAATAGAGAGAGACTGGGAGGAGCAGACACAGCCTTCACAGCACTCCAAAGGCGGCGGGGAACCAGGGCCATAAATCCTACACATCCGCAGGCGTTTCTTCCATTTCTAAGCTGCTGCTGTATAGCCACTGGCCTCTTACTGAGCATGTGCAGCAGTGAAGCAGCATGGAAAGACACTGTCTGACACGCTCAGACTGAACCTGATATGTGCAGGAGGATCCCGACGCACATTCAGCGCTGCATGTGTACCCATCAGATCAATGCGCTCACTATTAGGGACCATCAACCCTTCACCACAAACCAGTATGAAGGGCTGAGCTATACATTAAAGCTCATATCCATCTATAGACTGAGCGGACTGTAAACTGCAGGAATAATCCATGCAGCCTTGGCTTTTCTCAATAACCATCCATGTATCACCAAAGGTTTTTGCACAATGTTTTCCCAACATCACACAAAGTTTCCTAAGCAGTGCTTGGAAAACTGACATATTTCCTGTAAGAGGAAGTATTTATTGCAATTAAACCTGGGCTTCCCAGGATTCAGTTTGTGCTCTCCTGTTTTTAACTATTTGATAATCGGAGGATGACAGAGTTTCTATTACAGGTAGACTGTACGTGCAATGCAGAGTAATAACAAAAATGGTGTGAATTCACTGGTATAAAATCCTCCCCAGCCACGAGACCCGCAGACCGCACAGCGGTGAGGAAAGCAGTCAGGGTAGTGAGGCCCAGGACAGACCGCCAATGTGGACACCGAAGCCCACACCCCATCAGCGAACAGGGGGGCAGAGTCAGACTGTTGGGGGAGTACGGGCACACGTCTGTGACCATGTTTGGGAAGGGAGTCATCACTGCAGGTCATGCTCTTCCGCTTTCTTCCACACTTTTATGGGAAGCCTGTGGTACTTGATTGTGGTCACCAAACTAGCCATCTTAGGGTTCTAGTGAGAGACTGGTTGGCACTGCTACTCACTTCTGTTTACCACGCAGGTCACAGAGCTATTTTAGGTTAGTTGGGTGATGCGATATTTAGTAAGGATCCAGGTTAGTCAGAATCTAGTGAGAAGTGAAATGTCCACTTGCCGCCCTGTCTGCCCTGTTAATGTAGGAGGACAGCCTGCGTGTTAAGCGGGAGATGATGGATGGATGGACAGCCTGCGTGTTAAGCGGGAGATGATGGATGGATGGACAGCCTGCGTGTTAAGCGGGAGATGATGGATGGATGGACAGCCTGCGTGTTAAGCGGGAGATGATGGATGGATGGACAGCCTGTGTGTTAAGTGGGAGATGATGGATGGATGGACAGCCTGCGTGCCGTTTTTGCTTCTTATTAAAGTTCGTTTGATGTTCTCTTCTGTCATCACTGCTGTACCCATGCAAAGCCAAATCACGTGGCCTCCTTTCTGATTTGACAGTTCTGCTATTCTCCTTTAACAGGTTTTTTTAAATCACATTCACACGGTGCTATGCGTAACCTGGTTTTTGTTGCTTGAAAGGAAAGCTTCGCATGTTAACATTTTGGCCTCCTAATTAAAACATTCCTAGAGATTTTCAGAAGGGTCTGGTCACTGCCTGGCACGTCTGGCCTGTAATGGGAGAAAGCCAAGCACAGCCTTTATCCTGCGGGCATCATAATACCCAGAATGCCAAGATGCTGGCGCTCACTGCCCCCAGAGGCTTGACGAGGGACAGCCTCCCTACTGGAGGTGTTTTGAAGGTTGCCTATTATCTCATTGTTCCTCTCACATCTATCCCAGTATCACGAATGCAATTGACCTTTTTTCAGTGAAAGGAAAAGTTACAGTGGGAAAAGGGCCTAAACAGCAAAGTAAAGTTAATTTGATGAGCACAATGTCGGTCACTGTCCGGTGATATGAAAAGGGCATTCAAATCGATACATCGACAATGCTTTCCAAAGAACGTCCGCACCCAATTTTCCTCTTGTGATTGCCCTGTAACTCCCAGCTCAATCCTTCCTCTCCTCACCCCGTTACACACCCATATACAGTACACAGAATGTGTGTATATATACTATTATAGATGTACACAAAGGATTATCTTCTCTACCTTCCGTTTCACACACATACACAGACAGTATAGGCACAGTGTGTGACTTTTTATATATGTATACACACACACACACACACACACACACACACAAATCTAGTTTTATCTCTTTTTCCTCCAAACACATGTATACTGAGGTTGTGTATGTATACTGTTTATATATATGTATATATGTGCGTGTGTGTGTGTGTGTGTGTGTGTGCGCGTGTGTATTCTTTGCCTCCTGTTACGCATGTACACATTGTGCAGTGTGTGTGTGTGAGTGTGTGTGCACACTTTTAGATTGCCTTTATCTTCTCCCCCTTCATCCTGCACACACTATCTTCTCCCTCTGCCTGTGTGCACCACTGTGGCACAACAATGACCAGAGCTAATCATTATTTAGCCGTGCAGAGCCTGGAAAGGTCAGTGGTCCGAAATGTCAGGCTTCAGCAGAACCAGATGCGCATCACTTTGCTCAAGTGTCCAATTAAAAAGAAGGGATAGAGGAGAGCGGTCCGAATGGGGAGCACTCCACACAGCAGGGCTAATGAGGGGCCCAGCACCACTGATCCAGGGGCCACTCACACCCGGGTCCTGCTCCTGCAGGATCTCATCATGCTCTTCATTCATCCTTTCATTCACCCTTTCTGAGGGGTTACAGGTAACCACAACCTGACAGGGGGGTCAGTGACCTCCCTCAGAGATCCCACACCCTCTCTGAAGGGTTACAGGTATCTACACTCTGACAGGGGGCTCAGCGACCTCCCTTAGGGGTCCCACATCCTCTCTGAAGGGTTGCAGGTAACCAGACCCCGACAGGGGGCTCAGTGACCTCCATCAGAGATTGTGCATCCTCTCTGAGGGGTTACAGGTAACCACACTCTCACAAGGGGCTCAGTGACCTCCCTCAGAGATACCACACCCTCTCTGAAGGGTTAAAAGTAACCACACCCTGACAGGGGGCTCAGTGACCTCTCTCAGAGATCCTGCACCCTCTCTGAAAGGTTACAGGTATCTACACCCTGACAGAGGGCTCCTACACCCTCTCTGTGAGGACAGAGGTGGCATGATATTTATTCACGGTGTTTTGTTACACACCCAGGGTCAGGGAGTAAACAGGGAGCTGAGAGGCATACACTGGCATTAATTAGGAACGTGGTAATACACAGGCATACACTGTTTACTCCGACTTTACACCAGTCTAACGAAACGAGATTCTGAGGGAAAGACAGGAAAGTGATGGCAGCGGGGCTTCAGAAGGCTCCCACAGGCCAAACATGGCCATTCACCTTGTGAAGGTCGGTGCCGCCTTCCTCGCCGGCCTGGTGACAGATGCCGCGTAAAGCTGGGAAATCAGCGGCCGCCACGTGCCGCACATAAACATCACTTTAATCAAAGCACATTGCGCCATCCCCATATTGCAGACATATGGCTGCTGTACCCATTCCTGCTCACCCATCTGCTTCCCCCACACCACTCTACGCTCTGCGCTGTCACACAGCTCTCTTCTGAAGGCAGGACCGCTTCCCCATGGCACTGCTCCCCGTGGGAGCAACCCCCCACCTGCCCCCACCCGCTCCCACCGCAGCAGGGCCCGTCCCACAGACGTGCCGTCGGCAGAGACCACACGCAGACGGCAGGGGTGTTCCAGCCCGGTGCTGCACTCGGTGTCAATAGGCGTGTGATGAACAGAGAGGAGACTCACCCGGGCTGGTGATGGTCAGCAGGTCCAGGCGACGCTGTTGCTGAAAGGCAAAGAGAAGAGATGTGAGTCTGCCTGTGTAATGGACATGGGACTGGATTATTCATAAAGGCGTATTCACCATGCTGAATGCTGCCTACCAGCTCAATGCAACAGCACTGTCCTCCTGCTTATTTACTTATGAGTGACCTCCCTCAGAGAAGGGAGGACAGTACTGTTGCACTTTAAAAGTGCTGCCTTTATGCAGCTGGACCTATTCAACACATGGATGCTCTCTATTTTCTTTATCTAACACTTGAACGTCTACGACATGTAACCTTTCAAGGACTGGGTGTCCGTATCGTCAAAGGCCCAGTTCAGACAGTCTGCCCCCTAGTGTTAACAACAGTATATGCCTTGGTTCGCTCATACCCTGAAAGTCTCAGCTCCGCCACATTAGCCGCTTTCATCATGCTCGGGACTACCCTACTCAGTAACGGAGGGCGTCTGTGAGTTTGCCAATGTGACACCTCGCACCTCCGGCTTGGAGTGCAGCTGGAAGTGGCACCTCGCCCCCCTCTTTAACCCCACGGCAGTGCTGTAGACTCCCAAGTGTTACATTAATCAACACCTTCTCCCTCTTGATCTCAACATCCCTGAGGAACAAAATCACGCACCACACTATTTGAAGTGCAGAGGCACTCCTCTCTCTCTATATTTTCACATATTTTCTCCCCACTGATGTCTGCCTTTCCGGCTTCCCATCTGAGCTCCTGTAAGCCGAATCCAACGGGGCTCGCGGATCGCGATCAATAAGCAGGCGGTTATGGGCGGTTTTGGCAAAAGGGACACGGTGGGCTCTGTTGAGAGGAGACGGTGGAGCCGATGAAGGGCACCTGAGTGCAGGCAGGCGGACGTGAGCGGGGTCCCCGGCGCTGGGCAGGGGCTGAGCAGCAGAGGTCACTGTGACCGCACTCCTGCCACAGGCCCCACATGCACTCGCCGCCACCTGCCTGCCATTCTGCTAGAGAGCCCTGTGGTTTTTCCTAACACCATAATAACAGCAATTTCTCTTAATGTAAGTCCACACAAGAAAAATGAAATACATAAGCACTCTCAGGCATTCCTTGGCATTTCTATTTCAGAGCTCCTCATTAAGAATACAGATATAAAATGGATACCACATGAATAAATGTATAAGTCAGTCAACTACTGCATTATACGTACAGCTATGATACATGGCTACATATATACAGTATAGCATACAAACGGGTTGCCCTGTGAAGCACACACTGTCCACACTTTTCAAGCATACAAAGAGGAAATCCTATTGCTAAAGGAGTCTAAAGCCCAGTGTGACGATAATATGAAACATGACGAATAATGACAATTACTTGATGGAGGTATAGCCATACTGGCAAATGTGTGTGTTTGAGGTGGTCTGGAACTCACTAGGGTGAACACTAAGGTTCTCAGGTTTATGTCACAACCAGTTAAAGCAGCTACGATTTTTCAACGCAGTCCATGACGGCGACGCTGAAAATGTGTCGACATCAATATTTAATTATTTTTTTAAATCATAAAAAAATTATTTTAATAAAATTAAAATTAAATTTAAAAGTAAAAAATTCATTCTAACAAGTGTTTTCCTTTAATTTCACTATGTATTTATGGGATTAGTTCAAATTATCACTAAATAAAAAGGTGGCACTGGAGGTTACACTGTGCATAGTGCAATGGCAAACACACAGGCGCTATTCTAGATCGCCAGAGTAGGTAAAACCACCATGTTGTCTATTCATATTTATTAAATTAGCATTAGTACGGGTCACTTTGTAATATCTGTCGTCCTCGTAGCTGTTAAATACACTCATTATTAAAGCCATAAAGTTGTCTGCCTGCTACCTTGGAATCTCCACTGAATAAGTGAGAATGTTTAGACTACAATATGGGTTTATTCTACATGGATTGATGGTGCCAGTGTGCGTTCATGCGCATTGGACTTGGGACCAGTGTCATTATCGTAAACTAAAACAAACAAAAAGAGACACTAAATAAAAGAAAATAATTCGTGAACTGAAATAAAAATGAAAACAAATAAATAAAAACGTGTCGGACTTTAATCTGCAAAAAGTACCGCCACACCACCAACATCTTTTTTACCACAGTATCCATCCATCCATTTTCTGTGACTGCTTATCCTGTTCGGGGTTGCAGGGGTGTCTGGAGCCTATGGGCCCAAGGCAGGGAACAGCCCAGGCTGGGGCACCAGCCCATCGCAGGGCACACTCACACACATGAGCAGTGCGATAACTCCAATAAACCTCTGCATGGTTTTAGGCAGTGGGGGGAAACTGGAGTACCTGGAGGAAACCCCACAATGACAGGGGGAGAACAGGTAAACTCCACACACGGAACGCTGGCGGAGACCCAAACCCAGGTCCCAGTAGTGTGAGGCAACAGTGCTAAGCACTGCATGACTGTGCCACCCCTTAACCACACTGCCTTGTCTTGTGGCTCTTGTGGCTGCTGATCTGTCCCTTCCTTCATCATGACTTCAATGCTTATCGCTTGTGTTGCAAGTGCTGTGCTCCACTAACCAAAATTAATAAGCATAAGTATATGCCAAATTTATACAGATTACTAAGTTTTGGGCATCGCAATACGCATCTCATTAATATTTTTAGGCATACTACTAATCTGCTTATTGAATTGTTGGCAAAAATATGTTCATATAGTGCTGAAAAGCCTGCGTACATTATCTAAAGCCCTGCAATGGCATAAAGTTTGTTATTGTCAAAATAAAATTTGCTTATATTAAACGGTCAGGTTGATTTTCTGGAGGAAATTAATTGTTTACATTCAATGAAATAGTCGATAGATCAATCAAGAAAAAATATTTGTTAGTGGCAGCCCTACAACCAATGATCCACTGATATCCTTGTCATTTACTGACAGTTAATGACCTCTGCTTTTTGTTAGTATATTTAACGTGAAATATATATATATATATATATATATATACATATATACACACAGTGGTACCTCAGTACTCGATCTCATTAGAACTGAAATTTCTTAAAATTCGAACCAACCAGTTAAAAAAAAAATTAACTAGAACTCGATCTGAATCTCAGAAGTCGAACCGTGAACGCCGACCCAAGATAACTTGTATGCGCGGGGAAATGAGTCACGCGGCACGTCTCTCAGCGGAAACAAAGGGGAACGCTTCAGTCTCAGCCTCGCATTCGCTGTGATAGCATCATTTCTTGGTGATAGTGCTTTTTTTATTGAAATTATCAGGTAATACACTGTACTTTATATCATTTTAGTAGCCATTGCTCACCAAAAAGTTACGCAATAGGTGTACAAATGTTACAACCTAAAAGTTTGCGATTTACGAACAAATCAACGAATACAGAGTAATAATGAACATAAACAATGGATTGCATGGTATACACTCTCTCTCAATTTTTTTTTCTCATTTTTTAAAAATGTTTTGCTTTTGTTCCAACATTAAATACAAACCCTTAGTATGACTCAAGGTTCTGTGTCTGGGTTTATGAAAAAGGTGTCTGTTTTTTTACTTTACACATTGTTTGGATACATGTACTTTCTTACTTTACAAATGACTGTTTTGATAAATGTGCTTAGATGTGTTTAGTACAGTATATGGTCTTCTTGTTTTATCCTGTTCATTTCCTGTTTAAATGCTAAAAAAAACATATTTAGGTGTATTTTTTGGGGGCCGGGAAACAATTAATTGGTTTTCCATTATTTCTTATGGGGAAAATTCGATCAGAACCCGAACTTTTTAGGATTTCAACCCAAGTTCTGAACGGATTAAGTTCGAGTTCTGAGGTACCACTGTACATATATTTCTGCAGAATACATTATTTCAGTATATCCGTCAGCCATAGCTGTCTATTAACTATAGAGTCCCTCCCGGGAAATGGCCTGTCTGTCGCAGGGCAGACACACACAAATGGGTAATTCTGAAATTCTCTCAGCCACCTGTTTTTTCAGCCTGCAGGAGTAAAGCCTCACAGACACATGGGGAACATGCAAACTCCACACACAGAAACACTGGGTTTGAACATGGAAGTATGAGGTAACAGCACTACCCAGTGAATCACCATGTACAGACACAGACAAATTTGTTGGTGCCCTTGAAAAAATGCTTCATTTCTCCTGAAAAGTGATTCAATTGTCTAATGTATACCTGCATGCCTTTAGTATGTGATAGAGTAAACCAATACAATTGTGAAAAGAAATGAATTGTTGTTTATTTTCCAAAGAAATGCTAAAATAGTACGAACAGATTAGTTAGTACCCCTAAATATACAATTTATCTTTGCATCATAGTCATGTTTCAAACTGTTTAAGCTTAATTAGTATCACAGATGCCTTCAAGCTTTTCATCAGCCATTCAGCCTATTGAAAGGGAAAGAACATGCTACTGTGTTGTTTGGTATCATTGTGTGCACCACACATGGACCAGAGAAAACAAAGGAGAGAGCTACCTGAGGAGCTCAGAAAAAGGATTATAGATAACCATGTTAAAGGTAAAGGCTATAAGACCATCTCCAAGCAGCTTCATGTGACCACAGCTGCCAATATTATTAAAAAGCATAAGATTCATGGGACTCTAGCCAACCTTCCAGGACATAGACGCAAAAGGAAATGCAACCCCATGTTGATCAAGGATAGTGCGGATGGTAGAAAAAGAGCCAAGGAAACCATCCAAAACCATTCAAGCTGAGCTCCAAGGTCAAGGTATGTCACTTTCTGATTGCACCATCCGTTGCATTTTGAACAATAATGGGCTCCATGGAAGAAGACCCAGGAGGCTCCACTATTGACAGAAAAACATAAAAAAGCTAAAGTGGAATTCGCCAAAATGCATGTTGACAAGCCCCAAAGTTTCGCGGAGAATGTCCTTTGGACTAATAAGACAAAACTGGAGCTTTTTGGCCAGTCACACCAGCTCTATGTTTACAGAAGGAAAAATTAAGCTTTAACAGAAAAGAACCCCATGTCTACTGTGAAACATGGAGGGGCTTG